GGACCACAAGAGTCTGAAGTATATTTTCACACAGCGGGATCTCAACATGAGGCAATGCCGGTGGATGGAGTATTTAGAGGACTATGACTTCACTTTGCATCCTGATAAGGCAAACGTGGTGGCTGATGCACTTAGCCAAAGGTCACCGGGAGTTTTGGANATGGGAAGATCACTTGCCCTTAGTAGAGTTCACCTATAACAATAGTTATCAGGCGAGTATACAGATGGCACCCTATGAGGCGCTATATGGGAGAGGCCATGTCGTTCTCCGGTATGTTGGACGGAGATAAGAGAGAGGTCTTCTACGGGTCCGAAATTGGTTAAAAACACCTCGGAGAAGGTGGACTTGATTCAGAAGCGTCTTTTTACGGCTCAGAGCTGGCAGAAGAGCTATGCTGATAGACGGCGACGACCTCTAGAGTTTGAGGTGGGAGATCATGTCTTCTTGAAAGTGATGCCTAAGAGAGGAGTGGTCAGGTTTGGTAAACGGGAAAAGCTATCGCCAAGGTATATCGGGTCTTTCGAGGTACTCGAGAGGGTGGGTGCAGTGGCTTACCAGTTGGCATTACTGCCAAATTTATCCGGTGTTCATACGATATTCCATGTCTCTATGCTCCAGAAGTATACTCTAGATTCGACACGTGGTGGATTGGGGTGAGTTGACTGTTGATGCGGATGAGACCTTCGAGGAAGGACCGGTGCGCATCATAGATAGCCGGGAACAGGTATTATGAGGCAAGACCGTACGGCTAGTGAAGGTGTTGTGGCAGCACCGAGGAGTAGAGGAGGCGACATGGGAGCACGAGGACACTATCCGTACCAATTACTCTTTCTTGTTCGAGGATGAAGATACATTGTTATAGTCATTTAGCATTATTTAACTGTTGCATATGCATGTGATTGTATGTGCATGTGGATGTGAATTTCAGGGACGAAATTCTTTTAAGGGAGGAAGAATGTGAAACCCGGGAAAAATTTGAATTTTTTTCTGAAAAATGGCAAAATGATAATTTGTCATCCTAATGTGCATTTAAAATACATATTTTTATAGAGCTCGGATGGGACAACGGACCTCACCGTTGGATTCGCATCGCGAAATCTAGCTGTCCTGTCAATTTTCGTCGAATTCCGAGATAGTCGAGTTTTTCATGTTTTTCGAAACGACAGGCGTCCGGTAACCTCCAAAAACTAAATTTTAATAAAAATTTTGAAGTTGAAAAATATTTTAAATAAAGTTCATATAAAATATTTTGAGCTTAAACCGATATGAAATTTAATCGTTTCGGGGTGAAAATAGTTGGAGTGGCAATCGAGTCGTATTGTGTCGGGTTCGTGTCGTGTCGAACATTAGTCAACCCATACCCAACTCATTTAACTATTCGTGTCGTGTCGAGTTAACCTGTTTATTTTCGTGTTGTGTTCATGTTCATATTCGTGTTGACTTACATAAACTTTGAATAAAAAATTTAACGCTAAAATTTTATTTTCACTTAATTGAATCTCTCATCATACTATTTCTACAAATTAAAAATTAACTTAATAATAACAATAACAATAATAATGAGTAATAGTATCTTTTTTATACAATAATTATGTCAATACTTGATAAACAGTTATAAATAATTAATATTTTATTTATATAATACTAATTAAATATGTTAATTGTACATTATACAACCAAATTAAACATCAGAAGTAATAGAAAAAACAAGTCATCAAAATACGAAAACTCATACATGCAACGAAAATGCCAAGTCAATCTCCTTCGAATTAAAAACTTTGTGTTGACGGGTCAATTCGTGTTAAACAGGTTGAACCCGAACACAACTCATTAACACTTCGTGTTGGCGAGTCGTGTCATACGCAGGTCGTGTCAAAAAATTAGTCAACTCAAACCCATTTATTCGTATCGTGTTTCGTATCGGGTTATCGTGTCGTGTCAAAAATTGCCACNTCATAAATGCAACGAAAATGCCAAGTCAATCTCCTTCGAATTAAAAACTTTGTGTTGACGGGTCAATTCGTGTTAAACAGGTTGAACCCGAACACAACTCATTAACACTTCGTGTTGGCGAGTCGTGTCATACGCAGGTCGTGTCAAAAAATTAGTCAACTCAAACCCATTTATTCGTATCGTGTTTCGTATTGGGTTATCGTGTCGTGTCAAAAATTGCCATCCCTGGAAAATAGACCTGGACAAAGGGGGACACGTGGTGACCCTAAGTACAGTGTTAGATCCAACCTTGAGATCTTCTGGCATTTGGTATGGTTCCCAGATATCATACAATTCTTTACCAATATGAGATGATAATATAATTTGTTATTGTTACAATATTTTTACTAGCTTTGTTTATGATTATCTATCGTATACCATACGTATTTTCTTGTTATCAATTATTGTCTTTGGTATTTGGTTCCCATTGATTATTGGATATCGTACAGTCTCCAACATTATGATATGATTTACCGTTGTGGTATGATTTCTTGTTGAAACCCGATTGTGTTATTCTTGAGAAATTGGTTATCTTGATAAAGTTATTTTTTCAAATATTTGATTTACACGTCGTATGCCAAATATGTTTTTTAGCCACTTTGAATAGGCATGTCTTTCCATTCATTGGGCTTTTTAGCTCATGTTTTTAAAATAATATTTTTTTAGGCAAACGATTGAAGTGTCAATAGCGGACTCAGGGAATTGATTGGGGACTAATAGTGTTGTGACCTCCGTAGCATATATCGTATAGCCCTCTTTACTTGTTTGGATAATTGGGGCAAACAGGTTTAGGTATGTTGACTTTAAGATATCGACATGAGATCAATTTAGTGTTAATGTTGTTTTCTGCTCCTATATTATTAGTTTATTATTAGGCTTACGTATTCCATAGGTTATGGATCTATGGTTCACGGCCGGTCATGCCCTTGGAGTTGTGGTGTGACAGGAATCACTGGNATAGGTTATGGATCTATGGTTCACGGCCGGTCATGCCCTTGGAGTTGGGGTGTGACAGGAATCACTGGTATTTATTATTTGATAAAAGTTCTATGAGCATGATAAAATTTGGTCAAATTTTTTAAGAACTCAACAAAAGCTACATATCAGAAAACTAAACGGCCTGCTCAACTTTAAAGACAGGTCGATACTTACTAGTTGGAGTCAACAACAAGAAATAGGTGGAAAAATTAAGCCAATTAAGAATAAAACAAAGTTTATATTGCTAAGTTTTCATAGAGATGCAGATCTCACTCCCGGCTTGCCAATAAAGTCAGCGAAAACTTAAAAGAATGAAAACTGAAAATTGCAGCTCCCTAGATTTGCAGAATGATCTTGTATAAGAAGCACAAGAGTTCATACAGAGAAAAGCAAGCATAGAAGTTTGACCTTAATTTGATGAAAAGTAAAAGCATGGTAAAAACTTCAAACATAATGATGCCGTCAAAGTTAATGCACTAATGGTTATACGAAGGTGACAGAAACTGGCTACACATTCTGTCACTTGTCTCCCTTAAAGATGATAATGTAACAGTACAGGACAAGATGCCTTCTTATTGGAGTCAGTAGCAGCGAAAATAATTGCAGACACAAAGCAAATACTATCACCATCAACCAGAAAAAGGTACCCTGGGACGACTTTCTAGGAAACAAAGAAAGAAAAGTACTAGAACCGGTGTTTTCTAAGAAAGAAGTAGCTATCTATCAGAACTTATTCAACCCCTTTTCTTCCTACAAAAAGCAATAATCAAGACAAATTTGAGCTGTCTGGGTGATTTGCTGACCTCTATGGGAGAATATTATGGAGCTTTTGCTATCAAATCAACTTTGTTTTCTTTTTCAGATCAGAACAATTGTTAGGCTTTCCAAACAAAAAAGAAAAAGAAGTGTTTTTTTTTTTTTTTTGGGGGGGGGGATAACTTTTGAGGTGTCACTGTAATCACAAACTTAAGCTGCTTGAGTTATCAGCTAACCTATGGGAGAAATCTTTCAATCCTTGGCAATCACATCGGTTATGTTTGCTTTTTTCAGGTCAGGTCATTATTTATGTCTCATCAACAAGAAAGACACACACACTGTGGTGGGAGGCATCCAAGATGTCACTCCTATCAATCTCTAATTCTTTTTAAACTCGGTATATACATCTTCATCAAGCACTTGTTTTGATAGTGGCGAAGCTGATGTAAGCCCAGCTTTAGTTAATGCTTATTTGAAACTCACCCCCCCAAAAAAAAACAACCAAACAAAAAAAAACACCCGGATAACAACTTAAATCTGGCAATGACTAGAGGGCTTTTGCAGGTCGAAAAGTAAGCTATGCAACTGGTTATGTAGTTTTGTTCATCAGCGATCACGCAACTTTAATACTCTGCGCACCACTTCAACTATAAGTATCAACCTCTGGAGGCAGAAAAAATTATTCTGCTGTTCATAACCATGAAACAGGAAGAAAAAGGAATTTTACTGTGCCTCGAAATGAGGTGTTCAAAAGGCAGGGATGCCCCTCATGATTTGTGTCAAGCAGTCAGCTCTTTATGAAAGGAAGTCAGGGAAAAATCCCAATATTGGAAGGAAAAAAAAAATCAAACCTGCCCCGGCTCCCAAGTCAAGTAGAAATTACCACGACTTGAGACAGCAACATAGTTTCCTTCAGGGGAGCGATTCACAGTACTGAAAGTGCCTGTATAGTAGCTTGCACCACTAATGCCACTGGAAACTGTTCTGCAATAGCAATAGAGACGAGGAGATTACTCCAATTATTACAACTCTCTTATTTACACGATATTTATGTTACAATGGCTAAATTGAAAACTAGCTAATCGAAATAAAGGATAGGCCAAAGTCGTGAAAGGAAAATGACAACCACATAATAGTAGCATTTATTGACCCTTTTATGCACAAAATATTAATCATTCCTGCCACACATGTTAGGCAGAAAGCTATAGCTTGTAATAAGGACAGATCCAAGGATAGTTTCCTGTTCTTAGGAGGTGAGAGAATCCATTTTGAACAAACTATTACAACAGTGCTGGATTGGTGCTATCAGTCATTGATAATATTTTTGCGGGATAAATAAATTGAAGGCGTAGTTCAATTTTTCATCAAATTTGCAAGCCAAAATTAGAATTAGCAACTAAGAAATAAGTAAATCCTATTGAACCATGAAATAGCTTCAATCCGACGAGTCAAAAAAGGAAGTAGCTTCAGTCCTCAAAATAAAAGGAACATTTTGAACAACTCCAACAAAGAAGGGTCACTGTACCAATGAAAGATAGAGTGCTTCAGTGTATATCATAGGTTTAGGACATCAGAATACCAATATACAGCTGAAAAAACTAGTGAGGATGCAAGAAAATTTTTGAAATATATACAAACAAAAGATGAAGAAAGATGTAAACAGGATTTGCACAGCCAACCAAAAGTCAATAGGTTCAAAAACCGAATAGGTCCTAGAGGATGAGGGTAATAATGTTACTGATGATAACTATAGTTCCTTATGTCTGGTTTCTTCTTAGCTGAAAAAACGCACTTAGAAGCTTCGAATTGAAGTATATGCTCCTTATGAGAATTAGCATTTTGATAGACACTCACCTATTAAGAGTAGCTGAAACAGTTTCCTGCACGGAAGCCCTCCAGTTGTAGCCCCTATTTGATGTAACATATATTGCACCTTCATCAGTTACCATCTCCGCACTTTTTTCTCCAGTTGCCTTTATGTATACCTGTGAAGTTCATAAGAAAATAACGAAAAATGTTTATTGAAAAACTAAATTGAACAAGAAAAAATGGTAAGGTTTGAAAATAGATTAACAGTAAGGAGATGGGGAGTTTAGTACACATATATACAATTCAGGATACAATGCTCCATAAGAATATATTTAGACTTTTCAGATAAATAATCAGTTCAGATGATTATACTATTATTCCTAGTAAAAATGTGGCTCCTTTTCCAAACCATATTAAGCATGAGTTCTTATGTGTGCATAGTTTGTTTTATCAATTCTTTTAATGGCATATCATGTGAGTATACTTCCTGAAGCAACAAATTTTTGCAAATCTCAAATCTAGTTCATTCAGATCATGGAAGCTTAAGCGATATATATGTCAAAGTTCTTATTTCTAAATTAGACATAAGTTAATTAGTGTAGGGTAATATTATAATTATTCTAAATATTACTCGAGTATAAATACGATAATGTACTCTCTCTTATTCTCACCTTTCTTCCCAACCCTAATATTACTTTTATCCTCTCAATTTAGTATCAGAGCATCGATTCAACAGTATATAACATTGGAAAACATATAACAACAATATTAGGATCATCGTAGTGGCTGACGTCTTGCAGACATCAGCAACCTTCGAACATTGGAACCAACATCCAGCATCGTTTTTTCATGGGGAGTATTATGGTATTTTTGTTTATATTTTGAAGCTATCTAAGCAGAGGTTTTTTATTTTTGAATAATATTCGAAAAAATAAGATATTTTCTACATATGCTGCTTTGGGACCTTTTTGAATGGATTGTTGCTTGGATCTGCATTTGTGGGTGCTGATTTGGACCACTGAGTTGCCCAGCCTTACTTGACTTGTTTAGAGGGTCTTTTGCATAGTTTTAAAACTCGACCAGACATCAACCCAACGGAGGAACCGGATCAATGGGTCACTGTTTTCAACCGTTGGGTCTCTAGTCAAACTGGTTATATAATAAAAAATAATAAATAATTATAAATAATAATAAATAACTAAAAAATCACAATAATTATAAAATAACATCAAACATGTAAAGTAGAGAAAAATCCTCAAACATCGTACTTCAGCGCAATAAACCCAACATCTCACTTCACCGCATCAACATCTCACTTCGCAGTTAATTGAATAATCCATAAGAAAAATAATTGATCAAAAAATATGCTCAATTAATTGCATAATCCTTGAAATAGAGCCCTATAATTGTATAAAAATTATAAAAAACAATATTCTCAAAGCTTCAATGTATAAAATCAAAAATAAAAAATCAAATTTAGCAGATTAGGGCATTTACATGTAGTGTACCTGCTAGCTGCTACTGTCAATGGTAGTCCTCAATGTCATCGATGGAGCTTTAAAGCACAGCAACCTTCGTTCCTTGCTTGCTCACAACGACACCAACCACAGAGAGAGAATTGCGACTAAAACTCAACGGGAGAGAGAACTGAGAATCTGTGTGAATGTGTGAGAGAGAGAGAGAAAGAGAAAGTCCACTTATATTAGGTTGACTAGCAGAGAAGATTGTCGACCATCGCGAAGAGGCAGAAGCAGAGTTGAAGATTGTCGATCGACTCTTGATCGTCCTTCGTTCGACTTGATGAAACGACATATTTAGGGGAAAATGCCGAAAAAGGCCAAAAGCTCAACTTTTATACAAAAAGTAATTGATTTGGCCAGTTTGAGTAAACTCGTCCAGGCGGAACGGTTCTCTGATTTTTAGCTGGTTCACTGGGTTTTGGACAGGCTTTGTGCATAAACGATATGTTGAATGAACCAGGCTGGCTTAAGCACCGGTTCACCGAGTCAATCCGTTGGGCTAGATCGAGTTTTAAAACACTAGTTTTTTTAGCAAAACAAGTGCCAACAGNGGTTCACTGGGTTTTGGACAGGCTTTGTGCATAAACGATATGTTGAATGAACCAGGCCGGCTTAAGCACCGGTTCACCGAGTCAATCCGTTGGGCTAGATCGAGTTTTAAAACACTAGTTTTTTTAGCAAAACAAGTGCCAACAGCATTGTTTATGTTCAATCTGCTCTAGAATTGGCCAGTGAAGTGTTCAATCTGCTCCAAATTTGTTTGATTTGCTCTAAATCTATTCGTCCAACACTATTTTTGGTGTTTCTTGGTCTCCGTGTTGGGTTTTTGAGTTCTTGTTGTGTGATTTGGTGTTCTGTGGTTGTGGCTTAAACATTGACGTGAGTTTGGGTTGTTAGAGCAGATTCCTTAACTTTGTTGTGATTATTTTGTCTAATTGTGATTGTTTGAGGATTATTGGTTCTCTTATTCTCTATTATTGTCGGGTTTTGGTTTTACCATGGCGACTTCAGAGGATGTCAAGGATACTTCTGTTGATAATCAGGTTAGAAAGGTTTGTTAGATCATATTTGTAATCGACTAATTTCGTGAAGCTCATTGTAAAATCTCAACCTATTACATGGTCATTATGCTATCAAGTTCAAGACCCGAAAGCTTCATTGAAGGGAGGATATCAAATGTCAAAGCTATATCATTTAACCTCTGTATGTACTTTCTTACTTAGGACAAAAATAATGACCTAGACAGCTAAAATGAACTCTTAGTTATTTTAACTTAGGATGATTAGGATAAAAATAGAATTGGAAGCGATCCGATTATGACTCTTAGGTGATTTTAAAAGAAAATTTTTTCTAAATCATTTATGAGTTTTCAAAATACAGTTTGAGTTACAATCGAACCCCTCTTTGAACAACACCTTTTAGTGCTCAAGAGGACAAGTTTTTGCATAATTTTATACTTAAAAACCTGTAATGACCGATCTATACCCTCTACCCTTCACTAGAGCGGTCCTTTTATGACTTAGAGAAGAAAACGAAAAAAAGCCATAGAAGGCAGTATTGGGCTCGATCTATGAGCTTGCTTGTCTCATGGTCACTCGCACAATGCCCATGGTCACATGAGCGATGCCCCCCCTTAGTCGTGTTTGAAACATTATTTTCACTTTAGTGACAACTGCCCTATGATCGCCCTCTTACGGATCGAGCGATTATTTGCGAATCTGAGTGTTCTTATTTACTAAGACTACCCTTATTCCGAACCTATAAATAGGGAGTGTCTTTCCCACATCAAGGTTAAGCCTCTTGAGCCTCTACAGAGATTTCAAAGAGAGAAATTAATCCATCTACCATGAGAGGTTCTACTACAACCTAGATTCCTCATATCCAAAGGTTACCACTAGTGATTCTATACAACTTCACAACTTCAAGAAGAACTTATTGGTTGACAAACACATTGACGTGTGCATACCGAGGATCGTTGGCGTGCCCATAATCGCTCGAGGTCTAGACAAACCGTGTGATAGGGAAATCCAAGTGAAGCTACATCAAACATCGGGGGTGGGACTTTTCTAGAAAAAACATAACAAAAAAATGAGCATCTAACCATGGTATGGATTGAAGTATAAGTCTCAAGTACTTGTATGTTGATATGAAGAATAGTGAATTAGGCTTTGGTGAACCGAGAAGGTTCACCACTATTTTTTTCGAGGAGGGTTTTCTATGTCAACAAATTGCTTATGTTCTTTATTGTTTATCATATACACTTGCATTTGTTAGCACATATGCGCACTATGTATTTGTGAATTTCATTGTTTGGCTATTCATCCATACATAGTTGTGCATTGGGTTTAANCAACAAATTGCTTATGTTCTTTATTGTTTATCATATACACTTGCATTTGTTAGCACACATGCGCACTATGTATTTGTGAATTTCATTGTTTGGCTATTCATCCATACATAGTTGTGCATTGGGTTTAGGGATTTGGGATCGCCATGAGATTAACTTTAGCGAATTAATTAAAGATGAATTTAATCAATTGTCAAGGGTAAATTAGGTTATGGTGTTTAAAAAGGGTTCTCATATTCTTTGTTAAATCTTTGTGGGAAGAGAAAATTGTGGTGAGTTAGGTTTTAATTAGTAATAGATTTGGTCTAAAATTGAAAAACTTATTCATCCCCCTAGGTAAAGTTTCTTGGTCTTCACGTGTATAATTGTGAGGGAAGATCCATATCGGGCTCTCCCTCACGGAACAATAAGGTTCATTCCATGGATGATCAAGTTTGATACATCACTCATGTTAGATTGAATGGACATAATTATTAGTTTTGAGCCCATGCCATTAAGGTTTATCTTGCGTGCCAAAAGGAAAGTTAAGTATCTGACTGAGATTCCTCCTCTCAAGACTTTAAAGAATCCTCAAGATTGATGAAGTGAGAATTCTTTAGTAATGATTTGGTTGTGGCCTAGTATGGAACCTTGCGTAGCTTCTAATGTTCAACTTCTTGATACATTTAAAAAGATGTGGACTCTCTCAATTAGATGTACTCTCAGGAATATAATATGTCCTGGATCTATGAACTTTTTAAGCGTTTGTTTGATACTGAGGAAGTAAGTTTATGGTTGAGCATTATAGCACTTTAAAGGGGCTATTGGAAGAACTTCTACTTTATCAATCATTGAGTGAGGATTTAGAGATATAACAACAACAGCGTGAACAATTTCAAGTTGTTGATGTTGTCCATTTTTTGACTGGGTGATGATCAGAGTATGAGCCTATCTGTGCACAAGTTTTGAGCAATTCCAAGCTTTCATCTCTTCTCGATGTGTTCTCTTGCCTTCAGCATGCTACTTTGTCTGATTATCACTCTCGGGCAAGAACTGATCCTATCAGTGATCAGTTAGCTTTAGTTGTTTCCCAAAATGGGTCTAGTGACTCTCGTGAAGGACGTGGTGGTAGAGGAGGTGGTGACACTTGCATGCGTACTAATTGTGATCATAATAACCACATAGTAGAGTATTGTTGGGATTTATATGGTAAACAACCTACTTTAGCTCATCAGGAAGATGTTTCATCCACTGGCCCTACTCAGCCTCCTACCAGTGACCTTCGTACTATCACACGTGATGAATATGCTCAGTTTATGTCCCAGAAACAGGCTCTAACATCCTCTACTGCTACATTTGCTCAATCAGGTATGACATCTACTTACTTACTGTCTTCCACGTCCAACCCGTGGATCATTGATTTAGGCACCTTAGACTATATGATTGGTTCTTGTGGTCACTAATCTCACTTTCACTCTGCAGCTCAATCTCTCAGTGTTACTCTTGCCAATGGATCANACCCGTGGATCATTGATTTAGGCACCTTAGACTATATGATTGGTTCTTGTGGTCACTTATCTCACTTTCACTCTGCAGCTCAATCTCTCAGTGTTACTCTTGCCAATGGATCATCATCACAAGTTTTAGGTTTAGGTAGTATGCAGCTTAGTCCTTCTCAATCAGTGTCTTCAGTTTTGTATGTTCCTCAGTATCCCTTTAGTTTGTTGTCTATTAGTAAGATTACTCGTTCCCTTAACTATTTAGTAACCTTTTATCTCTCATTTAATGTCTTTCAAGATCTCAAGATGAAAAGAAAGATTGGTATGATTCATAAATCTATTGGTTTTTATTACTTTGACTTTGAACCACCACTCAGAGCCTTACAAACCTCATTATCTCCCCACAAGTGGCACTGTCCTCTCGAACATCCATCTCCTCTAATTTTGAAATCTCAAGTTTCTAGTCTTGGTAGTTTGACGCCCTTGTCTTATGGAACATGTCAACTTAGTAAGTACCATCGAGTGCCTAGTTCTTTTGAATTAGTTCATTCTAATGTATGGGATCCTCCCAGAGATTCTTCAATTAATGAATTTCGTTATTTTATTACATTTGTAGATGATCATTCTCATTTAACCTGGTTGTTTTTAATGAAATCTCACTTACAATTATTTTCTACATTTCAATTGTCTTGTAAGCAAATTAAGACCCAATTTGACTGCCATATTCGTGTTTTACGGTCTGACAATGCTAAAGAATATATGTCTAATCTACTGGTTCTGGTCTGGGTTCTGGAACTAGGCTAGACCTAAACTCCTAGAATTGGGTGGACCAAACGTAATTGGGCTTCTTGAACTAGGTTGGGCCAGTTTTCTGATTGGGCCGGACCAAACCTTGAGATAAGTTGATGGGTCAAAATAAATTGGACTAGGTCAATTAAAATAACCCACCCAAACTCCAAAACCAACTTGACCCACCCAAAACTTCTTCACGCGATGGACGGTTCACAGAAACCCTAGTGACTGCGGTGACTCTCAACAGGGGCGAACAAGAATGCACCACCAGACAAACCCCACGAACACTGTGTCACGCCACACCACACGCGATCACAATAATGCTAGTGATCCAACAAAACCACTCAGAGGGCACCACAACAAAACCAAGCCACTCGACGAGAACCAGTTCGACGGCGAACTGCCTCACACCACCTCTGGCGACCACCACAACACCGACGAGATGATTCTTATAAAAAAATCACCCACNCACTCAGAGGGCACCACAACAAAACCAAGCCACTCGACGAGAACCAGTTCGACGGCGGACTGCCTCACACCACCTCTGGCGACCACCACAACACCGACGAGATGATTCTTATAAAAAAATCACCCACTGCAAATCACACTATCACAGGCACCAACTCCAATCACACGTACAACCATGGACTTCACAGACTACCTACGACTCTACACCATGGTCGCGGGATGCACCGAATAATCAGGCAGACGACCTAATCAACAGATAAAGAAAGAAAAGGAAAGAGAAGAATTTACGGGTTCAAATTCTCAGTATAAAAGAAAGGTTAATTGCATAACACAATATTAGAGAGTTAACATAACACAATATCAGAGAAAACTGAGAGTGGTCAAAACTTTAACCTAGCTCTCACAATCATCTTATATTTATAGTTATCTCGTAATCATACAAAGGACGAATATACCCTTTATGTGATATACTCATTTCAACCTAGTATTTACACATAACAATACTCTAATACTCTTAACAATATCAATCACTTGGACCCCTTAAGTTGGAAAGGTTGACAAATACTGATTGGACCGATGATTCCTCATATAGACGATCTATTATTGGATTTGCATCTTTTTGGGAGGTAATTTGGTTACATGAAAGAATAAAAAGCAGACAGTGGTGGCCACTGTCTTGATCTAGTGTAGAAGCTAAGTACCAAGCGATGGCTCACACGTGTAGTGAGCTAATGTGGTTACAACACTTTCTCGAGGAGATTGGGTTTCTAGTCCAAACTCTGATTGAGTTATTCTGTGATAATCAAGGTAGAGGTAGACGGGTTTAGTTCATTGTGGGGTTCCAAGGGTTCCTACTAATCCTTGAAAGAATAAGTTAGATATTGACTTCCAATATCAGTTCTTTCTAAAGCCCTCTATGGATTACTATGATTTGATTTTATGTTGTGGACTAGATGTATTCTAATGTGTAATATTCTTACTAATCAAACTACTTATCCTCTTGATTGTTTACTTGAATTAATTTGCATGCAAATACCGATTTAGAATCCTACTTTAGGCCTGTTCATTCTACAGAATATCAATTCTAAAGGTTTCAATTGATTTGTTGATTCCTAAGAATATTAGAAGAATTGGAAAGAAACAAGACAATACTCAATATTATTAATTCATCAAAAGTTGTTGAATCCTAAGGCTTACCCTAAGGCTTATGAGAGCTTACATAATAACAAAAACCAAATCAAACTAGGAAAGTAGAATTCTGATTAATAGTTTGAAATGGATGGACTATGTTAATGTTTAGCTAGTTTTTGACTTAGAATGCTCTCAAGGTTGCTCTTTCCATTCAATTTATGCCCAAAATTTTCAACCTAAATTGTACCATATGTTCAATATATGAGTTTATTTAAAGGGAACATTTATTTTCTAAGGAAATATTTTAAAAACTGTGGAAATTTCTTGATTAAGNAGGTTGCTCTTTCCATTCAATTTATGCCCAAAATTTTCAACCTAAATTGTACCATATTTTCAATATATGAGTTTATTTAAAGGGAACATTTATTTTCTAAGGAAATATTTTAAAAACTGTGGAAATTTCTTGATTAAGTGATTTTTCTTTAAATCACGCTATTTTCATGAAATTCGGGGCAGCTTTAAACTTTATTGCATAAAAATTCTTAAAGTACCAAGGACATAGATGTAATCCTCAATAATTTGAGAATAAAAAATAGCTGCTGGCAATTTAGGCTTACCATATCACCAGGAAGTTGAGAACTCAATGGTATACGTTCCCAGGTTTCTCCAGCATCTGAAGTGTACAGTAGAATTGCAGGCTTTCCAACAATCCATCCCTCCTTTCCTTTGAAACTGATGGAGTTAAACCTGTAATTGAAATCCTCTTCTTCGGCGGAGGGTATTGAACGTGCAACCCAAGTGTTTCCTCCATCTTTCGTTTCCAAAATAGTTTGTCTAGTCCCAAGTAGAAAACCTACCAAGCAAACCATTGTCCAATGTTCACTACTTAGATAGAGAATTTATAAAGGATTGCCATAATCATAAGATATGAAAGTCAAATTTCACAATTTGAGTAAGAAGTGAATTATCAGTTTTATATTTGCTTTCAATGACACAAGGAAAGACTGAATTTTAAAGATGTAATATAAGAATCACTTATTAGAAAACATTCCCAATTTGCTCTCTGTTAAACCCTTGTGAACCTTGGGATAAAAGTTAGTTTAAACCAAATTAATTAGAAAATCTAATATGAATATAATAAATTTTCTATAATCCTTTTTCTTGGGAAGGTTGAAGGTTGGTGACCAATATGATAAGTCCAGTTAAATGTAGTCATATGGAAGTATTAGGCTCAACTATGTGAAGTTGTAGTTAATTAGTCAAAATGCTGAAACTTCATAAAATCAACTATCTTCTCTTTTCTCAAATTCTATAAGCAACAGATCCAACCCTAGTGCTAGGCCATTGAAATGGCAGCCTAGGGGCCTCAAATGAAAACGGTCCCATATGAAAGAAATGAATGCTCAAAGCAATTATGGAATAGGTAATCTGTGATTTTCAAGGCCCAAAAAAATAAGAAGGCCACATTAGTAAATGATTAGTCGGTTATTGAAAAAAAACTCCCCCTCAATGGAGAGAGACTCTCTGTCCACATTAATAAGTAAAGTAGGTGGAATTAAGAAGGCCACATTAGTAAATGATTGGTCAGTTATTCAAAAAAATCTCCCCCTCAACAGAGAGAGACTCTCTCTCCACATTAATAGATAAAGTAGGAGGAATTCTTTCTCATCATTAGAAATATCATATCCGCACAAAAAACTAAAAACCCTAGAACTTTAACAGCTAAGATGTCCTAACAAGTCTCTCTCTCTCTCTTCATTGTTTTTTTGACTTTTTGTCAATTGCTCTCTACCATTTGCTAATAGTGAAGAAATATTGAGTCTTCATCTTTTGCTTTCTTTAAGTGTTAGTTGCTTATATTTATATTCCAATTTTGTAAGTGATAACACGAGTTTTCGATATCTTGTTTAAATGTCAAAATATAAATTATTTCTAATCTCACAAACTTATTCATGAAAGATAAAATGATCAATCCTAGTCAGACTAACAAGAAAATAAATTCAATTTATTTTACACTGAGAGATGAACAAAAGATTGAATAAATCGGTCATACTATCTGAAAGGGGTCAAAATCTCTGAACCTTGATGTGATAGCTGGATGGATCCAATTGTGGACTTTCTTAAAGAAGGAAGGCTCCCTCAGGACAAGAAAGAAGCTGGTTGACAAGCACATGGCCCTTTGTCAATGGGTGTAAGATATTTTGCGATGAATTCCCAAAGCTCCCGAAAACAATAAGTAACTTCTTGTAGGGACGGATAATTTCACAAAATGGGTAGACGTTGAGCTCCTCGCAAACATTCAGGACACGGATATAAAGAGATTTGTTTGGAAGAATATTATAACAAGGTTCGGAATTCTGAGAGCGCTGATCTCTAACAATGGAACCCAGTTCGACAACAGACCTTTTAAAGCGTTCTACCAGCACTTGGGGATCAAGAATTACTATTCATCTCCGGCCTACCCGCAACGTAATGCGCAGATAGAGATCTTCAATAAGATGATATTGTATAGGATTAAGAAGAGGCTAGAGAAAGCTAAAGGCAACTGGGTGGAGGAACTACCCAGCGTGCTATTGGTGTACTGAACCATACCACGCCGAGCAACCAGAGAAACCACTTACGCATTAGCATATGAAATGGAAGTNCTAGAGAAAGCTAAAGGCAACTGGGTGGAGGAACTACCCAGCGTGCTATTGGTGTACCGAACCATACCACGCCGAGCAACCAGAGAAACCACTTACGCATTAGCATACGGAATGGAAGCGGTCATTCCCCTTGAAAATGGACTCCCAACTCTTAGGACGGAACTCGCAGATACGGGAAAAATGAAAGAGCTGATCTCCGAAAGCCCAAACATAGCAGAAGAGAGAAGGGTGTTAGCAACCACAAGAATGCTATCATATTAGTAGCAGATGGCCCAGACAGGAAGTTCAAACCAAGGGAATTCCTAGTAGGGGACCTAGTCCTAGGAAAGGTTATGGGAACCACGAAAGATCCCGTAGAAGAGAAGCTCAACACCAATTGGGAAAGACCGTATGTGGTTACAACCAATGTTATCACAACCGGACTGGACGAACTGGTTAACTGTGAACAAGGCCCTAAATCGGTCCATTTCCCTAAAAATACTACTTGTGCAATCAAACCATTGAAGAACTGCCAAATCAACCGATTTTGGCCAAAACCAATGTACCGGATGGATTTCTAAAGTTGGTTTGTTCAAATCTTAATACAATAAAAAAATTTATATGTCTTCTCCGCCTCCAGTTCTCCCAAATCTAGCTCTTGAACAGCGGCCACACCACAAATACATGTCTCGAACTCCTCAGCCACTGATCACATCTGCGTGTGTAAGTCTTCTTCTCCCCTCTCTCTTTCTCTCTACATTTACACATACAAAGCACAAATGCTAGGTCTTCTCTCCTCCTCTTTGTGTCTCTGTATCTATCTATCTACAAGCACACACAAAGTCAATATGCATACTCCACACACGTACCCAGTCAATACACATACGCACACAATCAATACACATAGAGTTCAGTCCAGTCTACACACGCACACATAGTCAATACATATGCCCCCCACACACACAGACACATAATTGAATGAAATCTGTAAGTTTAATTAGGAATTTAGGATACTACTATGTGCAAATTATGCTTTAATAAAAGTGATTGTGATTGTGAATTTTATTTGTAATATCTTTGTGATTTTTATTGTGATTGTGGATTTTTAGCTAAATTATTATGTTTTATAATTTTTTTTATATTTTTACTATACGACCGGTCCGGCCAATTGACTCAACAGTTGAACCACTAAACCATTGACCCGGTCCCTCTACCGATTTAATGTTCAGTCCGGTACGATTTTGATAACTATGATTATAAGGTTGGAGGAACTAGGTCCTCTTAATGGAAAACCAATTTTGCGACCTTGGAATGTGGTAAGCCTTTGAAAATATAACTTCTAAAGTGCCTTCAAAAGAGAGAATGAAAAATGATTGAAGTACCATCAATCAACTAGAGTACCTCTAGAATCTCAACAATCTATGTGTTAGAGATCTTATTTTTTATGTTTTATATCNAAGTGCCTTCAAAAGAGAGAATGAAAAATGATTGAAGTACCATCAATCAACTAGAGTGCCTCTAGAATCTCAACAATCTATGTGTTAGAGATCTTATTTTTTATGTTTTATATTNATATGTTCCTACTATTGGTCTTGCTAATGGTGGTAACTCTGCACATGTGGTTGCTCAACCTTCCTTGTCATCGTGGATCATTGATTGAAGAGCTAGTGCTCATATATCTAGCATTTCTGCCCTATTTTCTAATTTTCGTTCGTCTAACTCACGTATAGTGTTAACGGATGGTTTTTTTTTGACTAATACATGGAACTAGTGATCCCTGTCTTACTCAGTCTATGTCATTAACCTTTGATTTGTTAGTTCCTATTTTCCTTTTAACTTGTTATTGGTGAGTCAGTTAACTAAGTCTTTATAGTGTTCAGTAAAATTCCCTCCATCTTCTTGTATTTTTTAGGACCTCACAACGAAGAAGGTGATTGGTTTGGAGCATGAGAGCAATTGCCTTTACTATTCATATCATGGAAGTTCTGTTCATGCCTTGAGTATTGTCATGTCTTCTCTTCAATGGCATTTCCAACACAGTAATCCCTTCTTGCGAAAATTGCGTCAGGATATCCCTGGTTTGAGTTCTTCTGTGTTAGAATGTAAGGTTTATCAACTAGGCATACATCACTACAGTGTCTTCCCTCCTAGTTCTTTCAATCGTGAATCTAGTCATTTTCATGTTGTTCATACAGATATTTAGGGTCCGGCAAGAGTCAAAAGTATTTCTGATTTTTAGTAATTTATAATCTTTGTTGATGATTTTTCTCGTATAATTTGGTTATTTATTATGAAAGACCGATCTGAATTGCCTAAGGTCTTTACTACTTTTTACAATGAAATTCTGGCTCAGTTTGACAAAAGTATTAAAATTTTTAGGTCTGACAATGCCCTTAAGTATACTCAATTATTTATGAAAATTTTTTGTTCTGACCGTGATATTATCCATCAAACCACATGCCTATATACCTCCCAACAAAATGGTGTCGCTAAAAGTAAACATCATTATTTGTTAAATGTTGCCCATGAAAACTTTGACATTAGTCAAAGAAAAGAGAACAAAAGGAGAAAGAGAAAACGTTATTATTATTAAACAAGTATGTACTACAACTTAACCTAAAATACACAATGTAGGCCCTTATATAGTAGGGCAACAATGAATAAAGTAAATGTCCAAACTACCCTTACCCCTCTCAAACTTATGATGTGGTAGAAATCATCAAGAGTTTGCCAAGAAGAAATCAAAAATGTGCTATGGTGTGAGATTTTATAAAAAAAACCACNCCAAACTACCCTTACCCCTCTCAAACTTATGATGTGGTAGAAATCATCAAGAGTTTGTCAAGAAGAAATCAAAAATGTGCTATGGTGTGAAATTTTATAAAAAAAACCATNATCAAGAGTTTGTCAAGAAGAAATCAAAAATGTGCTATGGTGTGAGATTTTATAAAAAAAACCATTATATGCATGGTGGAAGGAAAAGTGGCAATTAATGTGCTTTGTGCGTTTATGGAAGACAAAGTTATAAGCAATTTGTATAGCACGTGTGTTATCATACTACATAGGAATAAAAGATAAGAAAATACTAAGATTAGCAAGTAGCCATTGTAACTAGATTATCTCAGATGTGGTAAATGTCATAGCATAGTACTCAGCTTCAGCAGAAGAACAAACAACAAAAATTTCTTATTTTTCCAAGAAATAAGAAAATCTCCAAGAAAAAGGCAAAAATCAGTGGTGGACTT